TGCATTATATATTGCATTTTTTATGATTTGCATGCAGCTGTGCAGCCTTCACACAATTTTACATTCCTCGAACAATAAGCCAGTTTTAGTGCTATTCAAGACCTTTAATTTAAGCCAAGGTAGAAGCCTCTAGGCCCTTTGAGAGCTAAATTATTACGATTCTTAAGTTAAGCTTCAAAATTTCATTCGACATTTTACGCAACTTTTTTTCTAATTTCGAAGTAAAAATTAGTACAGCAGTTTCGAAGTTTTGTTTAAAATTATTATAGCTTGGCTCTCAGAGGGCTTCTACCTTGGCTAAATTGCACTTATTGCTCGAGGGATATAAAATTGAGTGAGGGATGCACAGCTGCATGCAAATAGAAAAAAATTCAATAAATAATGCATTTTTTAAATTAAGGTGTTCAAATTTTTTTTCGAATTTTGAACAGTGGAATCGTGTTGCTCGTCTCAAAATCTATAATACTAGTATAATAAAAAATACATAAATTTATTGTTTTGGACTAAATACCGTCGATTTTGCATGTTTGGGGAAATTTCCCTTATTTCAAAAACCCACATTTTTTCCAAGTGTGTAGTATTGATTTCTGTATCTAAATAATAAGTTCCAGTATTCTGCCACAAATACTTCCAGAGATATGCAGTATGAAAAATTCCGTTTGAATGGGAAGTGCCACGCCCCTTTGTCTAATCGAGATAAAGGCTATCCTTTTAAGTTGGGCTAAATGAAAACAGTGTGCGTAATTTCATTAAGATCGGTTGAGTACTTAAAGCGTGAAAGCGTAACAAACAAACCATTCGCATTTATATTGGTACAAATTATCCAGTACTGACCATTAATATGATTTTTGGAGGTGAGCATTTTTTACACAGACCCAAAATATTACCCAGCGCTTATGAATTTGGTTGCCTTTGATTGGTCGTGCTCAACGAAAAACAAAAAGTTATGCACTGATCATGCGTTCTCTCAAGAAGATTTTTCAGCAATGATAAGTAGCACACTATTCTTTAACCTAGGATTATTCTTCTGAAGAATTGAAGAAGCATATTTTATACCCATAAATATCAAATAAGTACCGCTCAACGAGACTCCCACAAGAAAATTCACGTTTTTTATAAAATACGCCAAATTCAGTAACAGTTGTGAGCAGCCTTATTTATCGCACTTGGTAACTGGTACATTTGATTAATACCTGTCAAGTTATTCCTCGGAACCTACAAATAAACGTCTGAAAACCCCCGAGCTTTAGGTCTGACCGCTCAAGAAGTTATAACTCAATAAAAAGTAGATTTTGTGCGACTTGCACTAGAAATTTCCTGATTTTCTCGATTTTGGCAAGTAAATTAGTCATTAAACCGTTAATTTTGTTTTGAATAACGATTTATTGATATTCACACATATAAATAGTATTAATGAAGGTATAGAAACCGCACTTGGCAGTGTTATGTTTTTTTTTTTAATAAAAACTAACCAGAGATAATTTCTATTAAAAAATGGAAGGATTGTAAAGGTACATTATTTAGCTTAGTTTAGGA